ACATGTTTCTTTCTGTGTTTATTAAATGAGGTGTAAGAATTGTTTAATTTTCCGATTCTTCTAATGAGCCTCTCATACTATATAAGTAAATTTTCATATTTATTTCTTTTCCTGTTATTCAACAATGCTTCGGTTGAACAACCATTGTTTAATCTCACTTCTTATTGCATTGGGTAAGTTCTTCTCTTCTTCATTACTTAAATAACATCAGGAAATTTTTATTCTATGTGGTTATCAAGGAGGTCCGGAATTTCTTTAATAGACTGTTTTCTTATTATTGAAAAAATCTAATATTCCGATGATTTTTTTTTGTTCAACAGCCTTATACGGTACGCTCAAGATCAAAGGAAGGAAACAAAAAAATGTAAACAGCATTAACGGTCCTTTTCTAGATTTAGGTATTTCAGTTATACACCAGAGACTCTTCACGAAAATTTACGACAAAGGGGATGATTTTTCTTTCCCTATTGTTAATTTCCCTTTTTAGGACGGTGATGTTCCTTTGGCACCGTCTAACGTTGTTTGTATATCCCAGTTCCTTCGTTATACCCGTGTCTGTAGTGACGTTTAGGATTTCAATGAAAGGAATCTATGTATTACTGGTAAATTATTAGGTAAGGGAATTTTTTACCACAATTACTTATAACCTTTACTAAATTCTTCCATAGATACACAGATTTTGTTTACAAGCTTGACTGTACGTGTAGAAAACTTATGTCAAACGGAATACCACATACTCAATTTTACGTTGATGTTGTTTACCGAGCCCGACAATTCAGACACGATCTGGATAAACTTATCAAACCTTTTAAAAACATATTCTAAAAGGTTACTATTTCAACACTGTAATTAGATCTTTGAAAACTTTTTTATTGGTATAAATATTGATTTTGTAATTAGTAAATTAAAACCATAGTTAATATTATTGACTTTTAATGACGTCTTTACACTAAATCCATTAGATGTTGGATGTGTACTGATTGATATTGATTTTTTTTATTAGTTGTTTTTGGCTTTGCACTAGCTGTCAGTAACTGCGAGTACACTCATATCTGTTTTTTGTGTCTTTTTTGTTATTAGGGATTTATAAATACCCTGCCATGCAGGTCTCTGATGGTGTTAGATGTTTTTCTGCCTTGTATCGATCTGATGAGTTAAAACCTTTCAACTGATTTTTATAGTTCTGATTTGTGCGGTAGCACCATTGTCCCAGGTTAAAAGGTTGAGCGTTCATAAACATGTTTAACCCCGCCACATTCTTTATCTGCCTGTCCAAAATCAGGATCCTGTAGTTCAGTGTTTGGCGTTGGTTCATGTCTGTCATTTTTGATTTTCGTAAATTGTTTTGTTATAAATTAGATCGTTAGTTTTCTCAATTGAATTGTTTCATATTTTCATGTCAGGGCCTTTTATAGCCGATTATTCGGTATGGGTTTTTCTCATTGTTGAAGGCCGTACGGTTGCCTATAATTGCTTACAACCACTTAATTTGAAGTTTAATGAATAGTTGTCTCATTGGTATCATACCACATTCACTTATTTTTATATACGTTTCCATTTCGTCTTGGTCAATTAGAACGTCATGATAATGCAACCATTCCTTAACTTTACATTACTTTCGTAATGAATTTTGATAACAAAGATTCTTTTTTAACACGGTGGATGTCAGGAATCGCTTAATATTCTTGAGCACTTGTTTTCACAGCAGTTATTGGTGGGGATGGTGTTCTCCATCATAGATTTTCTATGTAGTGTTTTTTGGACAGTTGCGGTTTTTTTTTCTATTGTAATAAATCTTTTGTGTAATGCGTATATCAGTTATTCCTGAAACACGTGCATGCACGGATATTGATATGGATATGATTCGTTATTATCATGTAACGTAAATCTATAACAAATATCAAAATGCTAGTAATGTTGTCTAAATGTATACCATGCTTTTGAAAACAATTTGGAAAGATTATTGTTAACTGTAGAAAAAAAAAACAAAGGATGTGGGGTATCCATTCATGACACAAAATCAGTACATGCACAGCAAAAAAACTCACAAAAAGGAACAGCGTTTTATTGTTGTTCTTTATCTCAAAGTTACAGTGAGACCTTCAACACGGACCAAGAAAACTCTCACCTCACTGCAAGTTTATGACGGCCCCTAGCACCGGTTTGAGTGGAATTCTTTTCAAAATGATTCTGATGGACTTTGTATCACCACTAAATAGGGCCCGGTCAAAAAAGAACATACTGGACAGTACTACATATTTAAAACAGTTCTGATGGTGTAAATATAAAACTATGTAGAATATACTTTAGTGATTAATGTATCAAATGAAAGGTGAAGGACTGATGATCCTTGTAGAACACATATTGACTGATAACTTTGAATAATACAAAAATGAATGAATAAATTCTAAAATTGAGGGCATATATTGCCTGTTTCGCGCCAAATGAAATGTTTGGAAGTGAAAATTTTAACGTGGACAGGAATGAGGACCACGAATAGGTGGTGTGTGTCTTATTAAAATGTTAGTACACAAACTGACACAAAATTGAGAGTTATTTCAAGAATAAATACACCATAACTTTAATAATACAGAAGAGCATACATATAAGATACGTGGTATCCATCTTTGACATAAAATCAGTACATGCACAGCAAAAAACACAACAAAAGCAAAGAAACAGCGCTTTTCTTGCTGTTCTTCATCCCAAAGTCGCAGTGAGGCCTTCAACACAGAGGAAAAAACTCTTACTTAACTGCAATTGAGCGGCATTTGATTCGGGTAGACTCTGTAATATGCATCACCAACAAATTGGGCCCCGTCAAAAAAGAACATACTGGAAAGTAGTACATATTTAAAAACAAAACAGTTCCTACGCATGTGTTTTGTGTGATATCGAAATATAAAAAAAATTGTATTTGTAAGAGTACGTTCATATACATTAGATAAAATCTAAGTTTGGAATGTCCTTCCCATTCAGTTTATAAAAAAAATCCAAGAATTTCCAAGATATATATCAAATTGCAGTTTTGACCGTGCCATTATTATTATTAGATTTGACAAAATATTCAGAAAAGGACGTAATATCAATTAAAATTTAAAGCATACATGATTGTGTGAATTCCAGTTTTGCTAAACTATTATTTAGTCATTTTCGGTTATATCAGTCTCCAATGTTCATTTTACACTTTGCATTTAAAATATTCGTTTAGGGTTATCGATTCTTTTATACAATATTATGTTCCAATGCAGTTCGCTTTATTGGTGGAAAAATACAAAGTGACATGTCATCAGTGGATTGCAAATGAACGGGATTTTTTGAAGCTATCGTCAAGTGCTCTTTTGGTAAATGAGTAAAAAGATGCAAAACGTCAGAATATTTCTTTTTAGGAGGTATGCATGATAGTGTGTTTTTACTATCACAATAGATAAAACAAAAATGAAAACAACAAGCGCTTTTCTGCATTGCTTTCATCAGGAACGCTCAAAGCCAAATATTTCAAAGCCAAGGATGGTTATATCCGAAACAGTTAAAGAGCTATTTGACCAAAGAGAACAGAAACATAATAGCCAAATCAACGTTACCTGACGGAATTGCAACCTTAGTTTTTTTATAACTTCAAAACTTATAAATTTTAAAAAGGATTCTTTTTACTGACTAAACTGAACTGATGATATCCTCGGGGTCAAACAGTCCACCAGCAAAAGTATCGACCTAGTGCTGTAATAATTGAAAACAACACGTTATAAGTTGCATGCTTCCGAAGTGCCTATCTAGATTTACCTTAATTAGGAATGCCCAAAGTCGAATATTTGAAAGCCAAGGATGAATAAGAACCGAAACAATCGAAGAGCTATAAGGCCAAAAAGAAAATAACAATGATTCACTATCATAATAAATAAACAATGAAACACCTTTTGAAGCGTTGTAGATACATTTTTGATGGGGGGATGGTGGTGAGGGTACGGGAAGTTTATGTTTATAATCCTTTCACCCTAGTTATCTAATAATACGAATAGAAAAACAGTGTTGTGTTTGTATTGAGATTTGACTAGTAAAAGTTGAATTTATCACGTCACAAATTAGAGTAGTTTTGAATGAGCATAAAGAGGACTTTTTAACTCGTTTTGAAATGCAATGTCTTCTTGTTGACTGGTTTCCTTTGGGAATATGAGTCTATCAGCGAAGACATTGATGATATAATACATACATATGATACCGATTTCGTACGTTATGTGATATACATCTGAAACTTTATGCGTGGAAACCGAATCACCATAGCAGCTTTACGCATAGCTAACAAAAAAAACAGGTAACGCCGAACGTAGTATTAACCCAAATTTCTATGAAATTGTCATTATTCTACGAATATAACTAAATGAACTATCTTGTTACCTTTGAATATAAACTTTTACTGGATTACATGCAAGGCTTGTCAGAAGACAAAAACCATCACATGTTTCGAATCCCGTAATTTACTTCTGGACTGGTATGACTATACAAATATTGTTTTATTGAATTTAGCGTTAAAAAATTTAAGAAATACTTTTTTAATCAAGGAATGTATATGTCTTATTCCTTGTACGAGTTTGGTCATACTTCCAGCCCTTTCGGTTTTATCTTAAATGTAATGTCATTTTTTTTACTTTCAAATATTTTGACCTCGCGCATCACTGTAGGTACTTTCAATGTTGCCTAAACAATAAGTTGGAATCAATGGAGGAATAACACTAACCATAAAATATGCCTTTACACCAACGATAGATAACGGTAGACATGCGAAAAATAGAGGGAGAACGACACAATATCAACTGACAATCATGATAAAGCAAAGGTCGCTGAAAGTGGCGTTCAACACCAAAACACTAACAAACACACATATCAATCATTGCTATCCTCTGATTAAGACAGATATTGCAACTAAAGTCAAACAAAACATATTCCAATTGTAAAAGCCAATAATTAGAAATAAAATTAATGAATATATACCTTTCTTTTAGCAAATGGAAGTGGTTATAACCCTGGAATATGGAGTCATCAAAAAGTAACAGACCATGACGACTACGGATATGCTTACGATCACGACAGTTATGGTCATGGTAAAACAAAAATCATAGTGAATAAAGGACATGAATATGGGTACGATTACGACGGTTCTGGAAATGGTAAAACAAACATCATAGTGAATAAAGGACATGGATATGGTTACAATAACGACGGTTATGGAAATGGTAAAACAACGAAAATTATAGTAAATAAAGGAAATGGATTTGGTTACAATTATGACGGTTATGGAAATGGTAAAACAAACATCATAATAAATAAAATACGTGGTTATGGTTACGATCACAACGGTTATGGAAATGGTAAAACAAATATCATAGTAAATAAAGGACATGGATATGGAAACGGTTACGGCGGTTATGTAAATGGTAGACCAAAAATCATAGGTAATAAAGGATATAGATATGGTTACGATTACGGTGGTAATGGAAATGGTATACCACAAATCATAGTAAATAAAAGATATGGATATGGTTACGATCACGACAGTTATGGAAACAGTAAAACAAAAATCATAGTAAATAAAGGTAATGGATATGGTTACGATCACGACGGTAACAGAAATGATAGAACGAAAATTATAGTTAATAAAGAAAATGGATATGGAAATGGTAAAATAAATATCATAATAGATAAAGGAAAAGGATATGGTTACGATCACGAGAGCTATGGAAATAGTAAAACTAAAATAATAGTAAATAAAGGAAAAGGATATGGTTACGACCACGACGGGTATGGACATGGTAAAACGAAAATCATAATAAATAAAGGAAATGGCTATGATTACAATCATGACGGCTATGGGAATGGTAAAACGAAAATTATAGTAAATAAAGGACATGAATATGGTTACGATCACGACGGTTATGGAAATGGTAATACGAAAATCATAGTAAATAAAGGAAATGGTAACAATCACAACGGTTATGGAAATGGTATTACAAACATCATAGGAAAAGGATATGGTTACAGTCACGGCGAATATGGAAAAGGCAAAACGAACATTATAGTAAATAAAGGAAAAGGATATGGTTACAATCACGACGGTTATGGAAATGGTAAAACGAAAATTATAGTAAACAAAGGAAAGGGATATGGTTACAATCACGACGGTTATAGAAATGGTAAAACGAAAATTATAGTAAATAAAGGAAAAGGATATGGTTACAAACACGACAGTAATGGAATAGGTAAAACGAAAATTTTAGTAAACAAAGGAAAAGGATATGGTTACAATCACGCCGGTTATGGAAATGGTAAAACAAAAATCATAGTAAATAAAGGAAAAGGATATGGTTACAATCACGGCGGTTATGGAAATGGTAAAACAAAAATCATAGTAAAAAAAGGAAAAGGATATGGTTACAACAACGACGGTTATGGTAATGGTAAAACGAAATTCATAGTAAATAAAGGAACTGCATATTGTTACGATCAAGACAGTTATGGTAATGGTAAAACAAAAATTGTAGCAAATAAAGGAAATGGATATGGTTACAGCCGTGACAGTTATGGTAATAGTAAAAAGAAAATCATAAAAAATAAAAATAAAGGATATGGCGCCAATGTGTAAGACCAAGGTAAGAAGAAAGGTTACGATTCATTGGGTAAAGTTGATGTAAAAGGGATTTGGACGGTTCAGTGGGAACATCTGGAGTATAACAGATTTTTAAAAACTTTCATGCACACTGAAATTTATATCGAATCATTTTAAGTATGTTCTCTTCTGAAATACACATCTTTCTTGCGTAATAAGGTATCCCAATATAATTTTCCAGATTCCTAATTTTTAGTTAAAAGTAGAAATTTCCCGTTTTCGTATTACATAGATCAGCGAAGCTCAAAGTTTTAGATGGGCATACTGATGCTTAATATCTAGTTTTGTTTTGACTTTATTTTTTGGGTTGTGGGGAAGGGTGGGTGCGCCCCTTTTGTATTTTGACTCAGACGTTGTCTGTACTTATACTTTTTAATTGTACCATTTTTTACACTCAAATGGATCAACATATTTTAATATTGTCTTGTTGCATGTGTTTATTATTATTTTTTGTCAATGTTGCACAAACAAAAGCACTCATATTTACATTTTGTTTCCTGGCAAAAACATCTCTTAAGATAAAAGGCAAAGACGGATTAGTTTATACATTACAATGAGAAGTACGACTTGCAAATAATCAAGTAAATCTTTCAAAATGGATAAAAAGATAATATCATAAAACGTTAACGGAATGAAACACGATTTGATTTGATTGATTGGTGTTTAACGCTACTTTCAGCACTATTGTGCTATTTCGTGGCTGTCAGTTTTTTGTTAGTGGAGGAAGCAAGAGTGTCTTGAGAGAACGACCGACCATCGTTGGAAAACTGGCAATCCTACTTAATTAAGATTGAAGTCAAGCCAACATCTAACGTGCGGGATTCGAACTCACTTCCTGTGTTGACAGGCTAGTGAAACCGCAGTTCGACCACTCTGCTCTTGATACAATTGTTTTCAGATATGTCAAAGAAAAATTCACCAGACAGTACCTGGTGTTGCAAACAAACAGTTACATGTAATTAATCAAAACATAATCAAAAACATTTCAACACAAGTTTAATGTTAATTCTATTACATATCAACTAATATACTTTAGAATTAATACATTATTTCTGTATGGCCATCTGTTACTTTAATACCAGGGTTGTCTGATATAAAATATTTTTCTAATAGTAAATGTTCTTTTCTCTGATTTAAAAGATAAAAAAAGTGAGAGATGTATTTTTCTAACAATGTCTTTAAATAGTCTACTACATTGAGTTGAGCTTGAGGGTCCAATACAGGGAACAATACAAATTTCTTCTTTTATAGATAGTTCGACTACTTAGACCACTCGGCCACCGAGACACTAATAAATCAAACACAAGACAAAGTCTCTTATTATCAATGAGTGTTGTCTTCCTATAAAAATAGATCGTATACGGTAGAGTGTTGAACGTTGTTGCAGTTTGTAAAAATGAATATTTCAAAATTTGGTGACTATGTTGAACGCATCTATCCAATCTAAATTAAGATAAAGGATACAACAAATACAGTAAAGTCTGCCTCATACCTTGACTTACATCTAGAAATTAACAATGAGGTTCGGTTGAAAACAAAACTTTACGACAAAAGGAATGATTTCAGCTTCCCAATTGTGAACTTTCCATATTTATGTAACAACATCCGAGCAGCGCCTGTATACGGAGTATATATCTTCCAGTTGATACGATATTCCAGGGCTTGTATTTCCTATCATGATTTCCTTGATAGAGGGCTGCTGCTCACAAGAAAGCTTTTAAACCATGAGTTCCAACTTGTGAAGCTGAAATCATCCCTTCGTAAGTTTTAAGGACACCATCACGAGTTGGTTGACCGATATTGAATATCCGATTCACAGATGATAGCGGATATGTTCCTAATGTCGTTACCACAATCCCGTCCCCCTTTTCCCGAATGTGACCTACCGAATAAGACTTATAAACGGATTTGTACTAGCTTGAGAAACACACGGGTGCCACATGTGGAGCAGGATCAGCTTACCCTTCCGGATCACATGAGATCACCTTTAGTATTTGGTGGGGTTCTCAGTCTTTAGTTTTCTATGTTGTGTTTTGTGTTCTGTTGTTTGTCTGTTTGTCTTTTTCTTTTTTAGCCATGGCGTTGTCAGTTTATTTTCGACTTATGAGTTTGAATGTCCCTCTGGTATCTTTCGCCTCTCTTGTAATAAAACATGTTTAACTATTTAAGTTAATGAGAGCATGTTCTTCCTTCGTGATAATCCATGAGGTGAGTCAATTCCCTGCTTATCCCAAATAAATTGATTACAAAAGCAAAAAAAGAAACAAAAGAAAAATACCAAAAAGGGAAAAATAAATCAAACAAAAGCATTTTCTAACGATAGATGCATTTAACTGGATAAGAAGTCATATTATCAAATAGGGAAAACAATTAAAATATAAGCTTCATAAAAAGAGAGAGAAGATACGAAAAGACCAATCGAAAACCACCAGTCGAAGTTAAACTGGCAACAAAATGATAAAAAAAGTAAAACAACAAAAAGACAAACAACCGTCCACAAAACACTTTATAGAAATCAAAAGATTGAGCAAATCAATCCCCATCTAAAGCAAGAACTGAACTCAGGTCCACCGGAAGAATAAACAGCTGCTGCTTCACTAACCGCATCCGTTATGCATTCGAAAGATTAATTTATGGTTATGTAGACCCTCAATGTGATTTTGAAGATTATGTAAAGAAATGAAGATCAAGCAAGAAAAATTCATTACGAAATATTGACGGTAGTCATGCTACGGTATTACAAAACCTACGGTGCCCTTGAACCTTATTAATAAATAAGAAGTGATTACATGAAAAATTCACTATAAAAATCTCGCAGGTCCTGAGTGCTATTCTGTGTTTATTTTCATCAGGAACATTCAACCCCAAACATTTAAAAGCCAGTGATGTTCAAATGTGTAGTAAGGTTTGGAGCTATAAAAGAGAGGCAAAAGATACCAAAGGGACATTAAAACTCATAAGTCAAAAATAAACTGACATCGCCATGGCTAAAAAAGAAAAAGACCAACAGACAAACAGACAAACAACAGTACACAAAACACAACATTAAAAACTAAAGAAAAACTTGGGGTTGAACTCAGGTGCGCCGCATGTGGCAACCGTCGTGTTGCTCATGTTAGTACAAAAACGGTAATAAGGTAATAATTTTAATTCGGTAGGTCACATTCGGGGAAAGGGGACGAGATTGAAGTTACGACAATTGGAACATATCCACTATCATCGGTGAAACGGATATTCCATAACGGTCAATCAACTCATGATGGCGTCCGTAAAATTTACGACGGAGTGACTTCAACTTCACCACTTGGAACTCTTGGCTTAAAAGCTTCCTTGTGAGCAGCAACCCTCTATCAATGAAATTATGATATGAAATAAAAGCCCTGGGAGATAAATACTCCGTATACAGGCGCTGCTTGGGATTTTGTTACATAGATATGAAAAATTCATAATTGGGAAGCTGAAATCTTTCCTTTTGTTGTAAAGTTTTGTTTTCAACCGAACCTCATTGTGAATTTCTAGATGTAAGTCAAGATATGAGGCAGACTTAAATGTCACAAATTTTGAGTTATTTAGTGAGAGAACATCATCTATATAGCGGAATATAAAGTTAAACTATATGATTAAAAGGGACCAGGTAAATTTTATTGAGGCCGTTGGAACCTCAGATTTTTTTCAATAATTTCTTTATATATCAACGGTGAATTTGAAAAAAAGATTACCAGTTGAAAGTATTGAATCATTACAATATCATATTCATGTTGTTCTTTTTTAAACTCTACGATTTTTACTTTAAAAGGGCAGGACCTGCACTCACGAATACATACGTTTTATTTATATCTAATTAAAGATAAATATATGTAAAGATTTCTTAACTTTCTTTTTTCAGGTTGAACTAGAATCTACTGGCTATAAAGACCTTTTTTGTTGCTGCTTCCAATAAATTTTTTCTTTAAAGCATCTTGCAAGCAGATATTGTTCTTTACTTGAAATATACATATATTGAGTGTAAATATGGGGATGTTAAAAAATTCACAGCTGTGTGCTTTAAAAAAGAAAAGATAAAAACCTTTTACAACTTCCGTTTGATTTATAAAATTGGTACTTATTATATAATTTTCTGTGGCTGTATCACTCACATCAGCTCTCCATAAATTCGAATATCAAGTCTTTGTAACGTCAATCATGCATGACTCGATCTTAATAACCAGACTAATCAACGACGGTGCAGTTTTTGAACCGACGTTTTTAAGTTTTACCCGAACTTATCATCCAGTTTGCTGGTAAAACAAATAAAATCATTACTTCTTATCATGAAAAAGACACAAAAACAGTCGGATAAATCGATTATCTGATTGACCGTTTCTATGTATGTTGGCGCCTGTTTTTGTTGAAGTTCAGTGTTTCTGTTGTTCCGTTGTTTTCCTCTTATAGTTGATGTGTTTCCCTCGGTTTTGGTTTGTGACCCGGATTTGTTTTCGCTTAATAGATTTATGACTATTGAACAGTGGTATACTACTGTTGCCCTCATTTCTTTGTATTCATATTGAAAATTATCAGCTGCTCAACACATTTATAAAAACTTTGTTAACCTCTTTCGCTGTGCTTACTCGACAAAAAACTTCATATTGTTAGTCGTAGCTGATCTCTTAGAGTATAGAATAACAACCTTAATAATCGGTTCTTGCAAATATTCATGAAAATTCACATCGATATATACGTTTTACACGTAAATCAGATCGCACGAACCGTGTTTCCGGAGTAAGCTATATCAGGTCACTTTGGGTAAAAAAAAAAGCCTATCAAGCAATCCAACACATCAAAACCATAAAATGCCAACATGGCAATTATTAATCTGGTTTTCTTTGCTCGAAAAGATTAGCACAGATTGATCAAATAAATGAACATTTGGAAACAAACATAACAAAACGAACGAGTAGAAAAAAAAATAGTGAGATCAGAATGCTCTGGAAAGAAGCTATATTTCCTCCTTATGAAGGAGTATGGATAATTGCGAAACCAAAATTCTAGACGGAAAAAACTCCCTCACACACACACATGTGTGCAATGAGTTAAAATTGGTACACCTGGTTTTGGTATGCAAATGGATACACACATGATTATCATGTTGGAATCGACATATCTATGCTTATATCGACCTGATAAACAATATGAGAGTGGGTCATTTTTCACACTGAGGACATCTGACAGACACGGTCAAATGGGGATTTTTTTCACACTAAGGACAATCTGACACACACGGCTTAATGGGGACATTTGACACACACGATCGAATCGGGACATTTTTTACACTGAGGACATTTGACACACACGGTCAAATGGGGACATTTATCACACTGAGGACATCTGACACACACGATAAAATGGGGCCATTTTTCAAACTGAGGACATCTGACACATACTTTGCCGAGTGAATTTGACAAAATGACTTGAACGACCACTGATATTATAGTAACAATGACGTTTATTACTCAAATATAGATCCAATACAACGACAGAAAATGCCATGAAATACTTCGCACAATATATATATATTTACTTAAGTCACTTAACTATCACTGATAATCGATGTATCGGACAAACAGACAAGAGAAAAAGATAGAAGAAAATATGTATTGATCGAGGCCTTCGACCTAGGTTTATAATATCTCACCGGGTTAGGATCAAGTGTTCAAGCCAAATCTATGTATGTATTTGAGCGAAATAAGAAGGACGTCTAAGCGAGAAAAAAGTGGAAATTTGAACGAGAGATTTTTTACCCATTTGAGCTGAAATTGAATTGATGACCCATTTGAGCGCAAATAGATAAATGTGAATAGTACACAAAGAACCTCTTTTCTTAGCCAACCTTGCGCTATATTCCAGACTTGGTACAAGCATTTCCCAAAGAAAATGATGGAATAAACCTGGTTTCATAGCTAGCTTTACCTCCAACTTGTACTTCACAGAGGACCTTTTGAAACCTTTACTATTTTCATTATGCGTGGAAAATCGTTCGAAACTTTTTATACCATTTTCACGGGAAGATCATGTCGCTCGTTCTTCATTCTGTTGTCTTACAACGATCTAAGGGATGAAATAAAATTGAGAATGGAAATGGGGAATGTGTCAAAGAGACAACAACCCGACCACAGAACAGACAACAGCAGAAGGCCACCAACAGGTCTTCAATGGTCTTGAGATTTGCACCCATCTCAATGATGATTATGACTGCAACAGTTGTCGTATTGTGAATTTAGACAACATTCATATTTGAACATTTTGTATATTTTAATGTCATTTTTGGTATTAATAAGGCAACAGTAGTATACCGCAGTTCAATAGTCAAACTTCGATTTAACTGAAACATTTACGGGTCACAAACCAAAACCGAGGGAACACATCAACTATATAAAAGGAAAATAACGGAACAACATAAACACTGAACTGCTACAAAAACAAACGCCAACATACATAGAAACGGACTATTTGATAACAACTTTATACTTAAACTTGCATCAGGTGTTTGAATCACATATCTTCTTAAAGAAATTATATTATTCTAATCGAAAAATGTCAATTTAGCTGAATTTGACCTTCTAAATCATTTTAGCGACAGCTACATACATGTAACATGCTGTGTTTATTCAAATCTACTCCTAATACCCCCGTATTGCAAAAAACTTCATAAAAATTTACTATCTGACAGTTGTATTAACCATATCAAGTGGATCAACTCTGCCTTGGTGCTTTAAGAACGTTTCCTAGAGGTCATTCAACTGTAATAATCAGTACCAGTATTGTATAAAAGTTATTTAGGGATCATACACCTCGAATAATTCAGTACCAATGCTTTATGAACGTTTTCTAGGAGACCGCACAAATCAGTACCAAAGTTGTTTAAACGTTTTCTAGGGTCATATACTTCGCACAAATCATTTCCGGTGTTGTATGAACGTTATTTATGGGTTTTACACCTCGCACAAACTATTTCCGGTGTTGTATGAATGTTATCTATGGGTTTAACTCGCACTAATAATTTACAGAGTTGTTTGAACGTTATATAGGGGTTTTACACCTTGACAACTCTGCCTTGGTGCTATATGAAAGTTTTGTAGTTTTGTATCAGTGTTGTATGAATATTATCTAGGGATCATACACCTACACAACTTGATACCAGTGTAAAAGGAAATTTATATATGGTCCTACACCTCGCAGAACTCAGTACCAGTGGTGTATGGTCGATTTCTATGGGTCATATTCTGTAAAAGTACTTTTATAAATGGGTTACCAATTTTCGTGGTTTTCGTGGATGGTTTTATCCGCGTATTTAAGTGTCCAACGAAATATAACAACTGTTGCCCAAATCAAGACATGGAAAGATCCCCATGTAGGTTTGACTACATGGATACAGGCATATAATCTAGAGAATACATCAGAAAACGCACTATGAACTATATATAGACCATCAGACAGAAAATAATTCTACAATTCAAACTACATTTGTAGCATTTTTGTATGTAACTGATTTCTTTAAGTTACATGTTTATGGCCTAATTAACACCTTTGATGATGGTGAATCTGTTTGATCATTCGGTCTCAGGTTACTTAGTGTCATCACTTCTGGAAACATTTTAAAGGTTTACTTTGCAATTCCCTTCAATCGAGACCATTTGTAAGCATGGATGAATCAGATAATTTCCGAAAACAATTATTTTATGGAAATTTGATGAAAGTTATCAGTAGTGAATGACGAACAATTAAGTAAAAATTAAAAACCAATTGTTCAAAGAACAATTGAAGGTCTTTCCACAAAAAAAACATGTATTTTAATATGAAAAATTCGGTTTAAAATGTCATTTCCAGCGTCAAATGATAGCTTATTGTACGCTGATTCCCAAAATATATGGTTTCTATACAATATTTTTTAAATAAGGGAGATAATTTGTTACTTCCGGTTTGAAAAATGTTATTCAAACGTTTAATTGACACTGATACCAAAAATATCTGGTTCTATAAACTTTTATATTAATTAAGTACAAAAAAAATCTACTTCCGGTTTACACAAGGTCACTTTTGGTTGGCTTTTCTAAGGTTAAATGGCTTGAAACCTAATGCAAAAATGCCAATGGCTTTATCATGTATACATATGAGGTAAAAGCAAAGGTCAAAATCTACAACGTCAATTTAACCTATGACCTTGAGCTCAATTTCAAGGTCACCAACCAAGGACCTCAAATCAAAAGACCCTAGGACTTAATTATATTTGGTTCATGAGTTATATCACCATATGCATATTTCTAAATAAAAGAGGGGAGAAAACTCTAATTTGATGTAAGCGTACCCTTTATACCGATATGTATGTGTTACGACATGTCGCAACTAACAATTAAGTAAAAATATGTTGTCGATATCTTATATCGTGTTTGAAAAGGGGTGAAAATAAGCCAAAATCCAAATTTTAAAATGACCTTGACCCTATTTTCTTTTTTTTTTGGACCAAAAACCTCAAATCAAAAGACCCTAGGTCCCAATCACTTATGGTTTATCAATTACAATTACATTTTACTTATTTTAAATACAGAAGGGGAAATAACTCTCATATGGAGTTTCTGTACCGCTTCGGTCAAAATTATTCTTAAGATCCTGAGGATATAACGAACAAATTGGAGACATAAATTTATCATAATCCTTTACGGTTGCGAAGGAGATGTGTACACAAGAAAAACAGTGTTTGGGGAGATAACTCTTACAATAAAAAGTATTCGGCTAAACAGGGTCAGTTTCAAAATCGCAATAACTGTTCGATATCATACACAAAAAATCTAAGCGACATCTTGCGAAACAAAAAAGCACCGTCAGAAAAAAGTGAAGGAAGAAGAAAAAAATAATAATCAGAAGAAAACCAATAGGTCTTTCCACAGAAAAGTGGAAAGACCTAATAATCAGAAGAAAACCAAAAGGTCTTTCCACAGAAAAGTGGAAAGACCTAATAATCAGAAGAAAACCAATAGGTCTTTCCACAGAAAAGTGGAAAGACCTAATAATAATAATTCGAACAAATACAATAGGTCTTTCCACAGAAAAGTGGAAAGACCTAATAAGCACCTTATTTTGCAATATCCCAAAAATCATCATAAAACAACATATGATTTTTTTTCAGGTATCCTCATTTCTGATGGCTTCAAATTCTTCACTAGATTCTTTTGGCAGAAAACTAAAACCCACGAACATGTATTTTTTGTCCAAACCACGAAAATTTATACCCACAAATAAAAGTACTTTCGCAATACCTCAAACAACTGAGCACCGGTGTTGTATAAACATTATCTAGTGGTCATACACCTAAAAAAAAATATGACATTGCAGTGTTTCAAGGATGTTATCTACGGGTCAAAAATCTAGAATAATTCAGTACCACTGCTATATGAACATTTTACAGGGGTCATTTATCTCGAACATCTTAGTTACAATGTTGAATGGAGGTTATCTAGTGACTATACACATTGAACACTCAGTACTAGTGTTTTGTGAATGTTATCCAGGGTTCATACACCTTGAATAACTCAGAAGCAGTGCAATAAGAACATTTTATAATGATCATACACCTCGAAAACGCTATGCCAGTGATGTTTTAAAGTTATCTAAAGGTCATACACCTCTAACAACCCAGTACCAGTGATGTATGAATTTTATACATCGAACAACTCAATTTATGTGTTTTTAAAGCCTTTGTTTTCCAGTGCCCTTCATCTTGAACAATTAAGAATCAGTAGTGAATGAATATAATTTAGGGGTCATACACCTCAAATAGCTCAGTAGCAATGCTACAAGAACGTTTTATAGTGGTCATACACCTCAAACCACTCAGTACCAGTGTTATATGAACGTAATCTTTTGGTCATTTACCACGAATAATCAGTAGGAGCGTTTTCAATTGGTCAGACACTCTAACAACTCAGTACCAGTGTTGTATGCACGATATCTAGGGTTCATTTACCTCGCCCAATTCAGTACCGGTGTTTTTAGGGGTGATATACCGCTAACAACTCAGTACATGTGTTGTATACACTTAATCTAGTAGTCATATACCTCGAATCACTGAATAAACTAGTGTTGCATACACATTATTTAGGGGTCATTTACCACGAACAACTCAGAACCAGTTTTTAGGGAACGTTATCAAACGCCTCGAACATCCCATTACCAGTGTTGTACGAATGTTACATAGGGTTCATATACCTTAAACAGCTCAGTAACAGTGCTATATGAACATTTTCTAATGATCCTATTCTTCTAACAACTCAGTACCAGTATATTCTATAAATCTTATTTAGGGGTCATATTCCATGAGCAACTCAATTAAAGTACTATAAGAGCGTTTTCTGGTGGTCATACACCTCGAACAACTTAATACCAGTATGGTATGAACGTTATCTAAGGGTCAAACAAATCGAACCACTCAGAACGAGTGTTACATGAACACTATCAAGAGGTCAAAAACCTCGATCAACCATTAGCAGTGCTATGAGAACGTTTGATAGTGGAAATACACTTCAGACAATTCAGTACAAAAACTGTATGAACGTTTTGAAATAGTAATATGCCCTAGTTAAGCGTCTTGGTTTTCCATGGAAAGTACCAGTGTTGTTCGAATATTATTTAGTGTTTAAACACCTCGATTGGCTCATTAACAATGTAGCATGAATGGTATCTAGGGGTTATATACCCCGTTAATCAGTACCAATGTTATATAAACATTGTGTGGGAGTCATGCAACTCAAGCATCGCAGTAACAGTAGTATATGAACATTTTTAGGGGTCATTTATCTCCGACAGCTCAGTAACAGTGCTGTATGAATGTTTTGTAGGGGTCGTATACCTCAAACAACTCAGTAGCAGTGTTGTATATAGAAATAAGGAGACAAGGTATGATTGCCTATGAGACAACTATCCACCAAAATTCAAAAAGGTTGGATGTAAGCAATTATAGGCAACCGTACGGCCTTCAACAATGAGAATACCCCATACCGTATAGTCGGTAATAAAAGGCCCCGACATGAAAAATATGAAGCAATTCAATTGAGAAAAACAACGGCCCAATTTACAACAAAATAATTAACGAAAAACAAATATTACAGACAAGGACCAACGACAACCACTGAACTACAGGCACATAAAGAATGTGGCGGGGTTAAACATGTTTTTGAGCGTTCAATCCTCCCCCTAATCTGGGACAATGGTGTAACAGCACCACATAAGAATAAACTATAAAAATCAGTTGAAAAAGACTTAACTCATTAGATCGATAAAAAGTAGAAAAACATCAAACATAAACACAGACCGAACGTGGCAGGGTATTTATCCATAACTCATCCCTAACAACAAAAAGGACATTAGGTACAGATCTGAGAGTACTCGCAGTTACTGACAGCTAGTTCAATGCCATTAGCAACTAATAAAAAAAAATCATGTATCTAAGACTAAAATATCAATCAGTTCACATCCAACATCCAATGGATTTAGTGTAAAGACGTCATAAACAGTCAGAGCAAAACATGACCTTGTGCAATGCCAAAATAAAGAATCGACAGATTGTAGTACCGTTAAAGTGCATATGTATATAACAAAACTATAAGTTTGATTTTAATTTACTGATAACAAAATTAATATTTAAACCAATAAAAACAATATTCAGAGATCTAATTATAGTGTTGAATTGGAAACCTTTTAGAATAAGTTTATTTAAAGGATTGATAAGTTTACCCGGATCGTATTTCCGGACTCGGTAAACAACATCACCGAAAAATTAAAGATGTGATATTCCGTCTGAAATAAGTTTTTTACAGGTATAGCCAAACTTGCAAACCAAATCTGTGTATCTTTGTATGAATGCTAAATAGATATAAAGTTACTACAAACACGGGAATAGCAAACACAGTAAGATTGGGTCAAAAGAACATCACCGTCCGAAAGAGGGAAATTAACCATAGGAAATCAAACATCATTCCTTTTGTCAAACTGTTTGTACAGAGTTTCCCGTTTGAATTTGAAATTTCTAGATCTGGGAAAGGATAGTTGTTGCTGTTCATATTTGAATTTTTAAAGTAAGTTTCATTTTAATAAATATAGGCAGTATATATAGAAAATTCTAACGGTAATTGTTGTTGAATTGACCAATTAAGACGGATCTTTACTGTGTTTGGTTATAAACTTTGATTCCGAACGATGCATTTTATAAATTTGCCTTTGCTGTAACCACAAAAACGGAAGATTTGCCTAGAGTAAAGTGTGAATCCCGACATAAATAAAATTACAATATTTGCCGTTGAGTTGCCCCGAAAAATGTAACCTTATATAGTTTTCATATGCTAGTATCAACAATAACTGTGTTTATCGCTATTTTGTGTATTTTTCCTTTGATCTTATTTTGTGATAATTTTTTCATATCATGCTACTCGCTTGAACTAAAACATTATCGTCAGAAACTAAGAGCGCACGTGCTGTTGTCAATGTAAAAATTAACTACGTATTAGGCAAAATAGCGATAAACAGATAATCAATAGTCTTTCAAACTCGAGGATGCTTCTCGGCCACATATCATCTCAGGGCGACAGCCCTTCGATGAGATCGTAGCTGAGAAACATCCTCTCGTTTTAAAAACCATCGATAATCTATAAGTATCTATTTGATATGCAAAATGGTCGTCCGTTGCTTTTGATGTGTTCAGCTGTGGGTTTTGTCTCCAACCCATTGAGCCATAAGAACATAAGTATTCAAATTATGCTACAGTATAGGTTTTTTTATCAATAAATGCTGGTCTTTTTCTTTGGGTTATTGGGGAGAGAGGGGTAAGCTGATAAGCTTCATATAATTTTTCATTTAAAAATTTCTGTGTGAATAATTGCTGATTACAGGTAAATGAAAACCAACAACACCAGTAAACTCAGTAGCTTTCGTCGGGTCTTCTTACTGTTTTCAACGATGGTCAAACGTCCATCTCGTCACTCTTTAAGTTTTACTAGTGTTTTGTTTGGTCTTGTATTGTTGGCAGTTATCAAACAAAATATATTTTAAGACAATATCCATCTTGTCACTCTTTAAGCTTTACTAATGTTTTCTTTGATTTTTGGCAGCTAAGAATAATAAGACAATAACGTCCCAGTATTTTTCATAAATGTTTTCTCATTACCACCTATGCAAGATGCCACTGAAAATAACAAACTGTAGATTAGTCATGTCATCAATTTACGTAAACATCATAAATCATTTAATATATATATTTTAATCTCACCAGAATAATATAAAAATGAAACATACTTTGAACATAGCCCTTATTTCTTTTTTTTTTGTTTTCTCTTCTTTGTTCACATTTTACGTGGGCCTTTAATTTGAATTCCTGAAAGTTATACAACATATTAACGTTACTCATTTTCAATTTTTCAAATCTGTTTAACCGAAGTTGATTACATAATACATTCCATTCGTATATTTTATACTACGTAAAACATGTTTCCTTCTGTGTTTATTAAATAAGGTGAGAGCATTGCTTAATTTTCCGATTCTTCTAATGAGCCTATCAAACTATATAAGTAGATTTCCATATTTCTGTCTTCACTATCATTCAACAATGTTTCGGTTGAAACATCATTGTTTAATCTCACTTCTTATTGCATTGGGTAAGTTCTTTTCTTGTTCGTTACTTAAATAAAATCAGGAATTTTTTTTTCAGGACATTATCAAAGAGGACGGGAATGTTTTCTTGTTATTGAAAAAAATATATACTATTTTTGTTTTGCTCAACAGTATTTAACGATACGCTCGATACAAAAGGAAGGAAACAAAAAAACGTTATGGAGACATAAACCAAAAGGGTATAGTTACAAAACTGACAGAGCTTACGTCATAAAGTTGATTGATAGATGCCATTTATACTGTCATCAATTAGCTCTATCAAAATTACCTTTAAAAAAAATAAACAATGCGCCATTTTAGACAAATTGCTCCCATACTCATGAATAAGGCAGAACAGACTACGTGTCTATGTAAATATGTTATTGGTCTATTAGAACGTCCTTATAATGCAACAATTCCTTAACTGTCCATTACTTTACATTACTACTTTTGTAATGAATTTTGAAAACAAAGATTTATTTTAACACGGTGGATGTCATGAATCGCTTAGTATTCTTGAGCACTTGTTTTCATAGCAGTTATTGATGGGGTGGTGTTGCTTCCTCAGATGTTTTATATGTAGTGTCTTACGGAATCTTGTTTGTTTGTTTGGATATTTTTGTTTTTTTGCTATGGTATTAATATATTTGTCTTCCATATCTTTTGTGTAGAGCGTATTTCTGTTATTTCTGAAACACGTGCGTGCGCGGATATCGATATCATACGTCATTATTATGGAATGCAAATCTATAACAAATATTAACATGCTAGAAATTTTGTTCAAATATATACCTTGCTGTTGATTACAATTTGGAAAGAATATTGTTAACTACACTTGGTTTGTGTGATATCAAATATAAGGATATGAAATAATTTGTATTTGACAGGAAGTACGTTGGTATACTTTAGATAAATTTTATGTTTGGAATGTCCTTCCCATTCTCTTTATAAATTTTTTTTATTTCCAAAAATTATATCAAATTGCAGTTTTGACCCAGCCAAACGCTATTAGAATTGACAAGATATTCGGAAATAGGACATAATATTGATTAAAATTTAAAGCATCCATGATTGTGTGATAAAGCGAATTGCAATTGTGCTAAACTTTTAGTCCTTTTTGGTTATAGCAGTCTTCAATGTTTTGTTTTTAGTTTTGGATGACAGATCATTCGTTTCGGATTATCGATTCTTTTATACAATATATAATGTCAATGCAGTTCTCTTTATTGGTAGAGAAAATATAGTTACATACCATTATTAGATTTTGTTTTTTTTTAACTATCGTCAAGTCCTCTTTAGGAAAATGAGAAAAATGATGCAATAAATCAGAACATCTTAGGAGGTATTCATGATAGGTTTTATTTACTATCATAATAAATAAACAATGATTTAATATCGTAATAAATAAACAATGATTTCCTTTTATAATAAATAAACAATAAAACACCTTTTGAAGCATTTCAGATACATTTTGGGGAGGATGGGTTAGAGTATAGGAATGTTATGTGTATAATCCTTTTTCCCTAGTTTTTTTTATTATACGAATAGACATACAGTGCTGTGTTTAGATTTGACTAGTAAAATCTTACTTTTTCACTTCACAAACTAGAATTTCAAATGAGCCTAAAGAGGATTTATTAATTTGTTTAAGGTAATAAAAAACATACTCATAAGCTGAAAAAAGTATGTCTTACTCTCCCCGAACTAATCTAACATAGTGGTCATTCTCAAAATGTCTTTTTGGTGATCGGTTTCCTTAGAGAATGACATTCCATCAGCAAAGACATTGATGGTTTAATATATACATATACCATAATAGCTATACGCTAAGCTTAAAAAAAGCAACGCCAAACGTAGTATTAACCCAATTTTCTATCAAGGTTTTATTATTATATGAATATAGCTAAATGAACTATCTTGTTGCCTTTAAATGTTTACCTTTTCTGGTTCACATATAAGGCTTGTTAAAAGACGAAACCCATCACATGTTTCAAATCCCGTAATTTACTTCGGGACTGGTATGACAATACGGATATTGTTCAATTGAAATTTACCGTTAAAAATTAAAGAAATACTTTTTTTATTAAAGAATGTATATTTCTTAATCCTTGTACGAGTTTGGTTATACTTCAAGTCCTTTCGTTGTTATCACGTCTTTAATGTTGTATCGGGGGGCCTCGGTGGCCTAGTGGTCTAAGTAGTCGAACAACTGTATCAATAGCCTGTCAACACTGAGGTTGTGAGTTCGGATCCCGTACGAGGCAGGTGCACTCGACTCCAATCTTAATTGACTAGGATTGTCAGTTTTCCTACCGAAGGTCGGTTGTTCTCTCCGGGCACTCCGGCTTCCTCCACCAATAAAAATTGACCGCCACGAAATAGCACAATAGTGTTGAAAGTGGCGTTAAACACCAATCAACCAATCAATGTTGTATCATATTTTGGCCTCGGGGATCACTGAAGAGATTTTCAGTGTTACCTAATAAACAAGGTGAAACCAATTGAGTTATAATATTAAAGATAAAACGTATCTTTACACCAACGATAGTTTACAGTAGACATGCGACCAATAGAGTTAAAAAGACACTTAAACCTCCATTTAAACATAGGAATATAAGTGGTTGCCGCATACTTTAAACAAGGCTTTGGTGATCGTATGGTCTAAGGGAGCTACCATATGAATGGAGGAAGAGGGGCTAGGATGAAAAATGTTGTCCTGCATCTGAAACTTCATGCGTGGAAACCTACTCACCATAATAGACATACGTGAAAACTGGCATGACAATACGGATATTGTTTTATTGAAATTTATCGTTAAAAAAAATTAGAAATACTTTTTTAATTAAGGAATAAATATTTCCTATTCCTTGTAGGAGTTCGGTTATACTTCCAGTCCTTTCGGTTTATCACTTCTTTAATGTTGTATCATATTTTGGACTTTCAAATATTTTTGCATCGGGCATCACTGATGAGACTTTCGATGTTACCTAATAAACATGACAATATCAATGGAGGAATAACATTAAAGGTAAAACGACAAATAGAGGGAAAACGACACTTTACTTCCATTTAAACATAAAGATATCAGTGGCCGACGCATGTCTTAAAACATGGCGTTTACCAGTTTTCTTGTTGAAGGTCGGTGTCTGCACTCATTCCAGCTTTCTACACCAATATCAACTGACCAACATAAAGCCAAGGTCGATGAAAGTGGCGTTATACACCCAAAAACTAACACACACGCCTATCAATCATTGCCATCCTGTGAATAAGACAGATATTTTAACATAAGTCAAACAAAACTGATTCCAATTGTAAAGGTCGATAATTGAAAATAAGAATAAGAAATATATACCTTTCATTTAGCAAAAGGACATGGATATGGTTACGGTTACGACGGTTATGGAAATGGTAAAACAACAAATATTATAGTAAATAAGGGGCATGGATATGGTTACGGTTACGGCGGTTATGGAAATGGATATGGTTACGGATACGGCGGTTATGGTAATAGAGGACATGGATATGGTTACGGTTATGACGGTTATGGAAATGGTAAAACAACAGATATCATAGTAAATAAAGGTCATGGATATGGTAACGGTTACGGCGGTTATGGAAATGGATATGGTTACGGATACGGCGGTTATGGAAATGGTAAAACAAAAATTATAGTAAATAAAGGAAATGGATATGGTTTCGGTTACGGCGGTTATGGAAATGGTAAAACAAAAATTATAGTAAATAAAGGAAATGGATATGGTTTCGGTTATGGAAATAGATATGGTTACGGTTATGGAAATGGATATGGTTACGGTTACGACGGTTATGGAGATGGTAAAACAACAAATATTATAGTAAATAAAGGTCATGGATATGGTTACGGTTACGGCCGTTATGGAAATAGAGGACATGGATATGGTTACGGCTACGACGGTTATGGAAATGGTAAAACAAAAATTATTATAAATAAAGGACATGGATATGGTTACGGTTACGACGGTTATGGAAATGGTTACGACGGTTATGGAAATGGATATGGTTACGGCTACGACGGTTATGGAAATGGTAAAACAAAAATCATAGTAAATAAAGGTCGTGGATATGGTTACGGTTACGGTGGTTATGGAAATGGTAAAACAAGAATCATAGTAAATAAAGGACATGGATATGGTAACGGTTACGGCGGTTATGGAAATGGATATGGTTACGGATACGGCGGTTATGGTAATAGAGGACATGGATATGGTTACGGTTACGGCGGTTATGGAAATGGTAAAACAAGAATCATAGTAAATAAAGGACATGGATATGGTTACGGTTACGGCGGTTATGGAAATGGATATGGTTACGGATACGGCGGTTATGGTAATAGAGGACATGGATATGGTTACGGTTACGGCGGTTATGGAAATGGTAAAACAAGAATCATAGTAAATAAAGGTCGTGGATATGGTTACGGTTACGGTGGTTATGGAAATGGTAAAACAAAAATCATAGTAAATAAAGGACATGGATATGGTTACGGTTACGGCGGTTATGGAAATAGAGGACATGGATATGGTTACGGTTACGACGGTTATGGAAATGGTAAAACAACAAATATTATAATAAATAAAGGTCATGGATATGGTTACGGTTACGGCGGTTATGGAAATGGATATGGTTACGGATACGGTGGTTATGGTAATAGAGGACATGGATATGGTTACGGTTACGGCGGTTATGGAAATGGTAAAACAAGAATCATAGTAAATAAAGGTCGTGGATATGGTTACGGTTACGGTGGTTATGGAAATGGTAAAACAAGAATCATAGTAAATAAAGGACATGGATATGGTTACGGTTACGGCGGTTATGGAAATAGAGGACATGGATATGGTTACGGTTACGACGGTTATGGAAATGGTAAAACAACAAATATTATAGTAAATAAAGGTCATGGATATGGTTTCGGTTATGGAAATAGATATGGTTACGGTTATGGAAATGGATATGGTTACGGTTACGATAGTTATGGAAATGGTAAAACAAAAATCATAGTAAATAAAGGAAATGGATATGGTTACGGTTACGACGGTTATGGAAATGGATATGGTTACGATTACGGCGGTTATGGAAATGGCAAAACAAAAATCGTAGTAAATAAAGGACATGGATATGGTTACGGTTACGACGGTTATTGAATTGGCAAATACAAACTATTTTATAAATTTTAATGAGGAGTTAGACTTGCCACTTTACGAAGTAAGTCACTAGAAATGGATAAAATTATAATACCAGAAAACGTAATCGCAATGAAACACGAGACAAATTTTCTTATTATTAAGTATTGTTCTCTTCTTATAAAAAAGATATACGGTAGATAGAGTGAAATCGAATGTAGTCGCAGTTTGTTATAAAAAATAAAAGATTGAGCAAACCAAACCCCACCTAAAACCAGGAGAGAACTCAGGTCCTCTGGAAGAATAATCATCTTCTGTTTCACTTATCACACCCGACATGCATCAGAAAGGTTAATGTATGGTCATGCAGACTCTCAAAGTGATTTTGAAAATTATGTAAAGAAATGTTGAAAATCAAGCAAGAAGAAACCATTACGAAATGTTGACGGCAATCATGCTGGTATGACAAAACTTACGGTTCCGTTGTATCTTATCAATATATAAGAAATGATTATATGAAAAATACGCCATAGAAATTTCGTGGGTCTGAAGTGTTTTTTCTGGATTAACTGTCATCAAGAACGTTCAATCCTAAACATTTGAAAGCCAGTGATGCATAAATGTGTAGAAAAGTTGGGAGTTATATAACAAAGTACCGCAAAATTCAGCTTAGGTAAATTTTGTCTGAGCTAGTTGGAACCTCATTTGTTTGATAATTTTTCATATATTAACGTAGACTTTTAGAAAAATATGTTAAAAATCATATCGATACCAATGCTCTAAAATTCACGTTTCCTGATCCAAGCAACATAGTAGTATTTATACTTAACAAGCGGCATGGCTTGTAACGAAGATGCTAATGTTTTCTTAAGCGATCGTCGATTGTTCCCCCTCCTTCATGTTTATAAATAATGTGTTGCTTGAAAATGCGATTTAGCTAATCCCAAAATATTCTTTCCTAGGAAACTTGAAATTTTTTATTTCACTATAGACCTTATATGAGGCATGATAGTACAAACAAACAATATAAACAAATGTAATGCATGAACAAAATTAAATAACTTAGGTTTTATTTATATCTAATTAACATTCATACGAGGAGTATAAAAGAAAAATAGATGTTCAGATTGTTGAACTTTCTTTTTCAGGTGGAACTAGAATATACTGGCTATAAAGACCTTTTTGTTGCTGCTTCTAATAAAAATTTTCTTCAAAGCATCTTGCAAACAGATATTGTTAATGGATTGAAGTGTATATATTCAGTGTGAAAATGGAGCTGTTGTTTTTTCTTTAGATAAGAAAAGTTGAAAACCTTTTACTACGTCCTATCGATTTAGAAAATTAGTACTTATTATCCTAATTCCTGTGGCTGTATCACTCACATCAGCTCTCCATATAATTGACTATCATATACTTATAGTCAATAACTTATAATTTTTACAGTATGATAATAGCATTAAATTTACGTGAATTCCATATTTTCCGTAATGGTGCTTAGCGGGCTGATATGAAAAATTTATTAACTGCTTCCGGTTATTATCGTATGCCTTCCAGTAACGTTATCGCATGGCATTTTGACGTCACTTGTCAAAATTCCGGAAAATACACATCAATGGATAATGAAAGGATATGGAGTTAATGTACATGGGACAAAATCGCACACAATACATTGAAAACATAGAAAATTATCAATGATCAGGGCTTTTATTCCTGTTCTTTATCTTGACAGTTGATGTAGGGTCTTCAGCAATGAACGAATCATTTATACCCTACAACAAGGTCAAGACGGTCCCTAGTGTCGACTTAGGCGGTACTATTGATAAAAATAAACCACAGTTCACCTTCTTGCTCCCCACCCGCCTCGGAGTGCCAACTTGTGCGATGCTTGTGTACGACGGTTCTCCAGTCGAAAGCACCAGGGATACAAGAAAAGTGCAGTAATTTTGAAAGACAACGATCGCCGCTAAAATATGTCTTGAAGTTATACATGTCGGGAGCGGTCACTGAATTACATAATTTATAATTACGGGCGAGGTTTTTCAACATATATTTGTCATACATTGCCCAACAAAAGACCAATAACTTCGAAACAACAAATGATAGACAATACATATAAAACTAAACAACAAATGATAGACAATACATATAAAACTAAACAACAAATGATAGACAATACATATAAAACTAAACAACAAATGATAGACAGCATGTTACGTTTTCAGTGAAAAAGCTTAACAAAGAGGATACAAAACAAATATTAGGAAACAGGAAAATATATTATGAAAAACCAAATAATTATACATTAATTATGATAAAAAAGATCATTACATGTCATACCCTTCATCGGCCCTTGTTCATGATATAATCCCTCGAGACTTTCGGCTCTTGGGCTGATATCATGACCATGGGCCGAAATAGGATCTGACATGAAAAATGCCATGTAATAATCTACAAATGTCGGATCTTTGTATCGTCAAATACACACGACCCAATCTTGATAACTTATTTTATCAAAGACGGTATTATTTTTGAACCAACGTTTTTGAGTTTGACCCTAACATCTCAAGTAAATTGTAATCATCCCGTTTGCTGGTAAAACAAATGATTTTTTTTTTCTATTATGAAAAAGACACATATACAATCTGACAAATTGATTATCTGATTTTCGTAATATCTATATTGCAAAATATAAGCTGCTAGACACATTATTAAGCCCTTTTTAGCACGTTCGCTGTGCTCACTTGACAAAAACTTCCTATTGTCACTCGTCACTGATTTCTTACAGTATCACTTTTCCAATTCCAATAATCGGTTTTTATAAATAATTATGAAAAATCACATCAGAGTGCATGACACGTGTTTCCGGAATAACCAGTATCAGGTCACTTGAGGTAAAAAGTTATGGAACCAAAATACATTAAGCAGTCCAAAACATCAATACCAGAAAGTGCCAAAACAGCAATTGTTAATCAGGTTTACTTTGCTCAAAAACACTAGCACAAAATGGTCACCTACATCTGCTTTTTTAAACAAACAAAACAAAAAGAACGAACGAACGAACGAACAGAAAAAGAAACAGGGAAATCAGCATACTCTAGAAAGTAATAATGTTTCCTCCTTATGAAGGATTAAGGGGTAATTTAAAAAATGAAAAAAAACGTCACGTAAATTGTTATGGGTGTTGTTTGCAAATCACAATGTTGTTGGTGTACGCGTAGAGAACGACCATTTAACTCTGAGAGTGTTATTATTTTTCTTCAAAAAAGTATTCTAATTTCAAATTTTAAGGAAAACATATTTTGATCAGGAAGAAATACAAAAACTTTGATTGAGGGCATTTGCTAATAAATTCAAAAGTTCTTAAAAACAAATTGGTATATTACGTTAATGTTATACTTACGTGGTACAAAAAAAAATCAGGATGAAAAAGAAATCATATCACCACCCACAACCCCACTCCCCCCAGAGTTCGTTCCTTAATTGAAATATTATCCATAATGGAAATTATATTCAGAAAGAGCAAAATACTGTAGCTTAATCAGAAATTTGAAATAATCTATAATGTTTAAAATTCATTTTGAGAACGGAACTCAATGAACAACTTGTTTGTTTTCGAACCATTTTTCGGATAATACGATCGGGGCTTTTTTGATTAATTCAAAATTATTGCAAATAATATATAATATAATTTCAGGTGAAAACGATATTAAAGTTTAATGTATTCTTATAAATGAATTAAATATCAAACTATGGCATTTTATGGTGTGGACAATACTCCATCATCATTATATTCAGATGTTTCTATAACTAATTAAGAAAACAATATTTAACACTTTGAAAAGAGAGATATTATAGTCATTTAATGGACTTTTTAACACACGCGTGTCGGCAGAAATTTATTATTAACATTTTTTTCCTGGTCATTATAGATATAAAAAAAATAGGTAGAGCCGTTTCTCTTGTATAAGTTTCGCTCATAAGGCTTTTTTTAAACCTTTTAACAACATTTTTGTTTACATATCTCCATAAAATTAAAATACTATTTAGTGCCACATATTTATTATATAATATTGGCATCGAAGACATCTTCAACACGCCCCCCCCCCCCTCCCCCCTCCCCCCGAAAAAACTTCAAATTCCCTCCCCACTACTTCAACTTAAAGGATTTAAAGTTTAATGTATTCTTATAAATGAATTTCTATACATATATGAAGGGTGGACAGGGGGTCCTTGATTCACAATTCACTCCCCCAACTAACACTTCCCTCCTAATTACTACCACTTCCAACCCTTATTCACAGATTCACATATCCCTGTGCAACTCCTCATATATTGACTATTTTGGCGGATATCTCTGCAATCGATCCCCATGTTAACAAATCGTGATTTACTTTTATCGTCCTTGTTTAAAATCGATGAATAAATTTGTTCCAGCAGGTTTAACAGCAAAGAACCTCTCAATTGTGAAGTTTCTATTTCTAAGTAGCAACATTCCAGCAGCGCTTGCAGATGACGACGGATATGTTACAATTGTCGTAACCACAATCTCGTCCTCTATTCCCCGAATGTGACTTACCGAATTAGACTTATCACCGAGTTTGTACTTACATGAACAACACGACGAGTACCACATGTGGAGCAAGATCTGCTTACCCTTCCAAAGCACTTGAGATCACTCCCGGTTTTTTAGCGGGGTACATGTTGCTCATTCTTTAGTTGTCTATATTGTGTTTTGTAAAATGTTGGTTGTCTTGTTATCTTTTCTTTTTTTGTCATGGCGCTGTCAATTCATTTTCGACGTATAAGTTTGAATGTCCCTTTGGTATCTTTTCTTTCACTTGTATGACAATCATTTCCAATTTCCTGTGAGAATGTTCCGAAAGGAGTTGGCTGTATGTTAGCACAACCGAATTGGTGTAAATGTGTATTTATTCCGCCAAACAGGCAGATGTGCCACTATTGGCAAAATATAAATAAGAAGATGTGGTATGAGTGCTAATAAGACAACTCTCCATAAAGTCATATTGTGTAAAAAGTAAACAATTATAGGTCAAAGTACGGCCTTCAACACGGAGCCTTGGCTCACACCTAACAGCAAGCTATAAAGGGCCCCAAAATGAATAGTGTAAAACAGTTGAAACAGGAAAACCAACGGTCTAATCTGTATAAAAAACCAGACACGAGAAACATTTATGAACCACACCAACAAACAACAACCACTGAATAACAGGCTCCTGACTTAAGACAGGTGCATACAAATGCAACGGGTTTAAACGTTTCAACAGGTGCCAACCTTCACCCTAACCTGAAAGAGTAGTGTAACATCACAGCATCAAAAGACACACTATAAAATATCAATTGAAATGGCTTAACTAGAGCAAAAAGACATATAAACAAAAACATTTACATACACTAAACGAATAAGTTTGATTTATGACAAAACATAAATAAAATATTAATAAAGAAAAAAGATGTAGAACAATGTCAAAAAGACAACTTTAACCTGGGACAAAATAGTGTTAGATAAAGTAACGTACACAGGTAAATTTAAATATAATAATTTTGTTGTTAGGAGTACGGAAACATTTTAGTACTATTGTAAAGGAACAATACATCATAAAGGGAGATAGCAGTAACATCGATTGAAAACGTTACTTTACATTGCGTTTGTCTTGATAAACTTGGGTTCAGATCATTATTACAATATCATTTGATCAGCTAGTTCAGCGTTATTGTGACACAAAACTTTCGAGTTTGATGTATATTGTGAGAAAGATACACAGGACCATGATCCAAAGAAAAAGACAAACAGACAAACAATAATTTACAAAACACTACTTTGTAAACCAAATATTTAGCAACACAATTTCACAAACTCGAGCTCTCCAGAAAGGTCAGTAGTTCTTGCTTCACAAGTGACATCAGTCGTGTTGCTCATTTTAAAATTCGGTAAAATATAGTCAGTCTCATACCATTCAAAAACATACCACCGTTTTAGGAGGTGGACATGGGATATACCTGGTCCCAAATTAAACATTCCCAGGTTCATTCATCCCTGTACAACTCCTCATATATTGACTATTTCAGGTGGACATTTCTGCAAACGATCCCTATGGTAACAAATCGTGATTTACCTTCATTGTCTTGACTTGATAAATCGATGAATGAATCTGTTGCAGCAGGCTTAACTGCACAGAAACTCTTACTTCTATGACAATTATTTCTAGTT